TTACGTGTTGATTTAAAAAGAAAAAAAAAAAAAAAAAAAAAAAAAATAAAAAAAAAAAAAAAAAAAAAAAAAAAAAAAAAAAAAACACAAAAAAAAAAAAAAAAAAAAGAAAGGAAAAAAACCCTTTGAGAAAAAAAATATTTTATTAAAAAAAAAAAAAAGAAATAAGAAAATAGTTTGGAATATTTTCTTACTGTAGAGAAGCACTGTACAGTACCAGGAACCCTGAGTATAAAATACTCGTGCGTGTAGTAGGAATATCGCATGTCCAAACCCTCGAGTTGTCTCATTTAGTTTCAAACAGAAATCATTGTCTCAAATGGTGTTAAACACTAAAAAGTTTTTAAAAAAAATAAAAAAATAAAGTGCGTACAGAAGCGAGAACACTAGCTCTGTCATTTTATCTTTCTTTTGTTGAAAGACTAAACAAAATGTTTTTTAGACAATCAAATGTTAGGTAAGTGCAAAGAATTGTTTTTTCTTACTGGTGTAGAAATTAATGACTTTTTTTATTTTTTTGGTTATTTTATAATACTGAGCAGACCCGTGTGTCCCCAGGATCGCCGCCGGAGCCAGGAAGCACTACGTTACTGCAAATAGAGCTGAACCTTAGTCTGCATGGGTGTAGGCTGTGTGATTGCTGAAAATAAATGCTGCTAATATATTTCCTTTTTACAAAGCATATCTAAATAGATCATTGTTTTGGATGTTAATCTTTGTAAATTATGTATTACCAATTTTAACATTGGATGTAATTGCATAAAAAGCCTGCGTCTCAATCCTGAGAGTCGAGTATTAAATGGAAAATCTTTTCCTACGGCTGGCTCGGGGGGTTTTCTTTGGCTGGGAGCGTGGATGTGCCAGAGGGTCTGGGCAGGGATCCGGGAAAATCCAGGGATCCACGGGGAAATCCCTGGGATCCATGGGGAAATCCAGGGATCCACAGGGAAATCCCTGGGATCCACAGGGAAATCCCTGGGATCCATGGGGAAATCCATGGGATCCACGGGGAAATCCATGGGATCCACGGGGAAATCCAGGAATCCACAGGGAAATCCCTGGGATCCACAGAGATATCCAGGGATCCATGGGGAAATCCATGAAATCCGGTGGATTCACAGGGAAATCCCTGGGATCCACGGGGAAATCCATGGGATCCACGGGGAAATCCAGGAATCCACAGGGAAATCCCTGGGATCCACAGAGATATCCAGGGATCCACAGGGAAATCCATGGGATCCACGGGGAAATTCAGGAATCCACAGGGAAATCCATGAAATCCGGTGGATTCACAGGGAAATCCATGGGATCCACAGGGAAATCCCTGGGATCCACGGGGAAATCCAGGGATCCACAGGGAAATCCCTGGGATCCACAGAGATATCCAGGGATCCACAGGGAAATCCATGGGATCCACGGGGAAATCCAGGGATCCACAGGGAAATCCCTGGGATCCATGGGGAAATCCATGAAATCCGGTGGATTCAGAGGGAAATCCGTGAGATCCACAGAAATATCCCTGGGATCCACAGGGAAATCCATGGGATCCACAGGGAAATCCAGGGATCGACAGGGAGATCCCTGGGATCCACAGGGAAATCCATGAAATCCGTAGGATTCCCTGGGAAATCTGTGGGATCCACAGGGATATCCCAGGGATCCACAAAGAAATTAATGCGATCCACAGGGAAATCCAGGGATCCACAAAGAAATCCCTGGGATCCACAGGGAAATCCATGGGATCCACGGGGAAATTCCTGGGATTCATAGGGGAATCCAGGGATCCACAGGGATATCCATGAAATATGTGGGATCCAGAGGAAAATCCATGAAATCCATGAGATCCACAGGGAAATCCATGAAATATGTGGGATCCAGAGGGAAATCCATGAGATCCACAGGGAAATCCCTGAAATCCAGGGATCCACAGGGAAATCCATGAAATCCGTGGGATTCACAGGGAAATCCATGAAATCCACAGGGATAGCCATGAAATACAGGGAGAATTCCTGAGGGAGCTGGGGAGGGGCTGGAGAATTCCTGAGGAAGTGGGAAGGAGCTGAGGGAATTCCTGGGGGAGCTGGGAAAGGCTGGAGAATTCCTGGGGGAGCTGGAGAATTCCTGAGGGAGTTGGAGAATTCCTGAGGGAGTTGGAAAGGAGCTCAGCCTGGAGCAGAGGAGGCTCAGGGGGACCTTGGGGCTCTGCTCAGCTCCTGCCAGGAGGGGACAGCCGGGAGGATTTGGGATCATCCCAGGGAACAGGGACAGGAGAGGGAACAGCCCCAGGCTGGGCCAGGGGAGCTCAGGGGGGACAGCAGCAGGAATTTCCCCTTGGAAAGGGAGCTCAGGCCTTGGAAGTGCCCGGGGAGGTTTGGATCTCCATCCCTGGAGGTGTCCAAGGAACTCCTGGAGGTGGCACTCGGAGCTCTGGGCTGGGGACAAGGTGGGGATGGGGCTGTCCCAGCTCCCGAATGCATCCCCGTGGGATGGGGATCCAGAGTCACTCAGTGGGGTGGGAACCAACCTGGGAATACCCACTGGGATGGGATTTTGGGATCATCCATTGGGATGGGAACTCGGGATCACCCATTGGGATGGGAACTCGGGGTTACCCCACTGGGATGGGAACCCAGGAACACTCAGCGGGGTGGAAACCATCCCAGGAATACCCACTGGGATGGGATTTTGGGATCACCCATTGGGATGGGAACATGGGGTCACCCACTGGGATGGGAACTCGGGATCACCCACCTGGGATGGGAACCCAGGAACACCCACTGGGATGGGAACTCAGGGTCACCCCACTGGGATGGGAATCCAGAGTCACTCAGTGGGGTGGGAACCAACCTGGGAATACCCACTGGGATGGGATTTCAGGATCCCCATTGGGATGGGAACCTGGGATCACCCCACTGGGATGGGAACTCAGGGTCACCCCCTAGGATGGGAATCCAGAATCACTCAGTGGGGTGAAAACCAAGCCAGGAATACCCCTGGGATGGGAACCAAGCTGGGAACACCCCACTGGAATGGGAACCCAGGAACACCCTCTGGGATGGGAATCCAGAATCACTCAGTGGGGTGGGAACCAACCCAGGAACCCCCCCTGGGATGGGATTTCAGGATCACCCATTGGGATGGGAACTCAGGGTCACCCCACTGGGATGGGAACCCAGGAACACCCACTGGAATGGGAATCCAGAATCACTCAGTGGGGTGAAAACCAAGCCAGGAACCCCCCTGGGATGGGAACCCCCAGCTGCCACACGTCTCAGAGGGTTCAGTGTGAGCCATTAAACCCACAGATTTGGTGTCCTGGAGCCCCCTTGTCCTGCACAGGTTGGGGACTGTCACCCCCAGGGCGTGTCCCACCTGCACAGGTGAGTGCAGAGAGAGACCAGGGTCCCTCAGGGATTAAACAGCTTTTTCTTCTTCTTCCCTCCTGTGCAGCCTGATTTTTCTTCTTCCCTTTCCCAGTCTGGCTCTCTGTGATCATGAAAATTCCACGCTTGACCCCTACGCTCCTTTATAAACCCAAGGTTTGGAGAGGTGTTTATTTTAAAAAGAAATAAATAAATTGAAGTACCACCTGGCTTCCTCCCCTGCTGCCATGACCCCGTTTTCCAAGTCCAGAAGCAGCTGCGGAAAATCAATCCAACCTCCTTAAGGCGAGCCAAGGAACATTCCAGTTAGGAAATAACGTCACTCGGCTGAGAATAAAAATGCCAGGGAGACAAGTGGAAATGAGAGCAGAGTGAAAGCAGAGCAGCAGAGCCCGGCCACCCAAAGGGGAACTCCGAAGGGTGAAACGTGGCCCTGGGAGGGAGCAGAGACCCAAAAATTCCCCGGGGCGCAGGCTGCTGCTGCTGCGGCCGCTCCCCGCTATGGCCACACCATTCTTTCACAGCAGGAAACGCAAATCCTGGGATGAAATCAGGAGCAACGACAAAACCATGAAGAACTCGGAGCCGTTTAGCCCCTGCTGCCATCCTCCGGGCTGTGAAAAGATTAGCTGAAGCGACAGAAATAATTAACCAGCGACCTGGGGTGTTGCCAGTTGCTCCCGCGGAGTGCGGCTGCTCCTCGGGAGCTTCTCCCGGGATTTTCCCGGATCTCCTCCCACGCTGTGGAGGAGCTCGAGCATCTTCTGCCGGAGCCTCCCTGCTCCGCCTGGCAGCCGGGATGCTGAGATCCAGCCCATCCCCAGCCCCGGCCGCTCCTGTGCTGGAACTCAAAATGTCCCTCAGACATTTTTAGAGGTTCCAGGCCTTGCTCAGAAGCATTTGAGACCCTGGCAGGCAGCTGGAAACAGCTGGGATTTTGAGTTTGAGCCGTGGAATGAATTACCAACTTTGGAGGTGGAACAAGCAGTCACAAAAGGTTAGATAGTATGGTAAAAGTAGTTACAAAACAGAGGGGAAATTTTTTTAGTGTTGTACAGGGGGTTTTAGCACCTGTCCAGGGGGGTTTTACTTTGTACATGGGGGTCAGGAGTTCTAAGATGGAGGAAAGTGGGCTGATCCTGTTCTTCCTCCTTCTTTTTCCTTACCTCCATGTTCTTGGTGATGTTGGCACTCGCAGATTGGTTTAGAGTAGAAAAACACCTTTTAACATAGGTAGTAGGTACTGGGGAAAAACTATAAACATGTAATACGTAATATATCATATAAAAGATAGCAGCAGCCCTGGGTGGGGAGAGAAGAAGCAGTCTGGGTCAGAGAGGATGTCAGGGTGTGTGTGTGCCTCTGCCTGAGCTGTGAGCAAACCCCAGCAGCTAAAGAAGAAAATCATTTAGATAATTAGCAATAAACTACCTGAGACCAAACAACAAGAGGCTGCGGAGTTTTTCTTTGGAAGCTGGGGTTGGAGGAGAGACTTTTCCACCGCACGAGACCCCAGACCAAGCCCGGGGTTCTCACCCTGCTGGAGCATCCTCATCCCGCCCCGAGCCGCCCACGCCGGCCCCGTGGCCACCGCCAGCCCCAGCGCTCGTTGCCCCGGCGGAGACGTGAATCACAACCTTTATTTCCAGCTTTTCCCCCCGCGGAACCAGCTCAGCCCTGTGCTTACACCTCTCTACAGAGCGCTGGCACCGGGCCCCCGCGGCAGGGCAGGGCGCGGGGAGGCGGCAGGCGCAGGACACGGGGCACGGAGGGGGCACGGGGCAGGGAGAGGCCCTGGCACGGGGGTGGGCAGCGGCAGAGGAGCCCCCCAGCCCCCAAGAGAGGAGGGGGACAGGGTGGCAGGCGGTGGCACACGGTGGGACACGGTGGCAGACGCTGATGCCATGCAGCAGTGACAGGAGCAAGGCGGGGTCCCCTGGGAGCTGCCAGCCCCGGAGGTGGCACAGCCCTGGCAGGGGACGTCTCCTCTCGGGTGAGCTCAGCTGCTTCCTCGGGTCCCTTTTGCCTCCTTCACAAAATCAGGGACGTGTAACCCACAGGGACGAGGCCGGTGCTGTCCCCGTGGCAGCAGCAGATCCAGTCTTCATCCACGGTGGAGAGCAGCTCCAGGATGTCTCCTTTTTGGAAGCTCAGGTGCCCGTCGGCGGTGCCCGTGTGGTCACAGAGCGCCCGAACTGCCCTGCAGCAGCAGTGGCACCCCCTGAACCCCAAATGTCCCCCCTGCACCCCAAGTGTCACCCCCTGAACCCTAAATGTTACCCTCTGCACGACCAGTGTCACCCCCTGCACCCCAAATGTCACCCCTGCACCCCCAATGTCACCCCTGCAACCCCAAATGTCACCCCCTGAACCCCAAATGTTACCCTCTGCACCCCCAGTGTCACCCCATGTAGCACCAATGTCACCCTCTGCACCCGAAATGTCCCCCCTTGCACCCCCAATGTCACCCCTGCACCCCAAATGTCACCTCCTGCACTCCAAATGTCCCTCCCTGCACCCCAAATGCCACCCCTGCACCACCAGCCGCATGCTTGCCCCAGATTCTGAATCCAGAAACCACACGAGAAAATGCGGAAAATTCCCCCCAAAACATCTGGGGGAAAAAACCAGCTGATGGCGGGCAGAGCTTCAGACTCCCCAAAACCCGCAGGGGGATGGGGGAGCCTCCCTTTCGAGACCCGTGCGACCCCCGGGCCGTGTCGGGGAGCAGCCCCGGCTTTCCCCCGGTGCAGAAATCCCCTCCAGCCCTGCCCAGCCCGTGCCCACCCCGTGCCCAGGCTCACCTGCGGGCCGGGTGCCCACCCCGTGCCCACCCCGTGCCCAGCCCGTGCCCACCCCGTGCCCACCCCGTGCCCACCCCGTGCCCAGCCCGTGCCCAGCCCGTGCCCAGGCTCACCTGCGGGCCGGGGGCTCCGGGGCGCGGCTCCTTTGGGACACCAGAGCCTTCCTCAGCCCGGCCAGGAGGTGCGGGCCGGGGGCGAGCCAGCGGGACGGCCTCCTGCCACAGAGCAAAGAGCCACGAGCTCGCCCGGCAGCGCTTGCCGAGGCTGGCCTCGGGCTGTGCTGGCGAGCCGAGAGCGGCCGAGGAGCCCCGAGCAGCAGCGAGCCCGCCGAGAACCGGGAATGAACGGGGAGGTGGCGGCAGCACGTGGGATGTGCGTTAATCCCACGGGCACGGAGCCGACAGGACCCCCAGGAGGCCAAAACCGTGGTGAGACGGGCATAGAAACCCTCCCTCAGTGCACCTGGGCACGCAGAAACCCTCCCTCAGGGCACCTGGGCACACAAAACCCTCTCTGAGCACACCTGGGTATAGAGAAACCCTCCCTCAGGGCACCTGGGCACACAAAACCCTCCCTCAGCACACAAAACCCTCCCTCAGTGCACGTGGGCACACAAAACCCTCCCTCAGGGCACCTGGGCACACAAAACCCTCCCTCAGCACACAAAACCCTCCCTGAGCACACCTGGGCACAGAGAAACCCTCCCTCAGCGCACCTGGGCACACAAAACCCTCCCTGAGCACACCTGGGCACAGAGAAACCCTCCCTCAGCGCACCTGGGCACACAAAACCCTCCCTCAGCACACCTGGGTATAGAGAAACCCTCCCTCAGTGCACCTGGGCACACAAAACCCTCCCTCAGCACACCTGGGTATAGAGAAACCCTCCCTCAGCACACCTGGGCACACAAAACCCTCCCTCAGCACACCTGGGCACACAAAAACCCTCCCTCAGCACACCTGGGCATACAAAACCCTCCCTGAGCACACCTGGGCACACAGAACCCTCCCTCAGCACAGCTGGGCACACAAAACCCTCCCTCAGCACACCTGGGTATAGAGAAACCCTCCCTCAGTGCACCTGGGCACACAAAAACCCTCCCTCAGCGCACCTGGGCACACAAAACCCTCCCTGAGCACAGCTGGGCACACAGAACCCTCCCTCAGTGCACCTGGGCACACAAAACCCTCTCTGAGCACACCTGGGCACACAAAACCCTCCCTCAGTGCACCTGGGCACACAAAACCCTCCCTCAGGGCACCTGGGCACACAGAACCCTCCCTCAGCTCCCCCAAACCCTTCCCCCGTGCCTGCCCGAGCCGGGTCTCACCTGGCCCCGGCCCCGAGGGCGTCAGGGCCGGCGGGGACGCTCCCGGCCGGGGCGTTGGTGGCCCCGAAGAGCCAGCCCAGCCATCCGCCCCTGGCAGGACCCGGAGCATCACCCCTCTCCGGCCCTCCAGGTGCTGCCGGGAGGATGTGGGCACCAGCCGGGAGGTTCCTCCCCGCCCTGGGATCATCGGGCTCGGTGAGCGCCCCAGTTCCAGCGGGCAAGAAGAGATCTTCAGGGGAAGAGGTGCCCGAGGTGTCCGTGCTGCTGCTGCTGCTGCTGGGCCTCGTGCCGGAGCGTTCGGGGACAGCTTTGGTCTGAAGGAGCTGCAGCTCCGTGCCTCTGGGCTCGCTGCTGGAAATTTGGGATTGCCCAGCCTGGCCCGGGCTGGGATCCCCCGCAGCCGCCCGCAGCTTGGTCCACCAGACCGAGGGGGACTTTTCCTTGCTGGGAGTGGTGTAAACCCTGGAGCTCTGGCTCAGCTGGCCCCACCAGCCGCCGAGGCCACCCCCAGTGTCCCCCTCGGGCCCGTGGCTCTCCGGGGAGGGGGTATCGGACCCCAGCAAGCTGCGGCCGAGCTGGTCGCCCCAGCGCAGGACCTGCTGGAAGGTTTGGTGCAGGGCAGCCCCCACGGGGGGCGTTGGGACCAGCTCACCCACGGACGCTGGGGACCGGAGCCTTGTGCTGCCCCCTGTGCCCCCCACCCCGCCCAGGGCAGCGGCGGGGGTCTCGTCCTCCAGGCCCCCCAGAGACGCGGCCCCCCGCGCCCGGCGGGACAGGGGCCGGACGTCCACGGAGAGGTGGTGGTGCTCAAAGAGCAAGTCCAGGTGGAACGTCAGCACCGAGAGGGGTTGGATGAGCAGCAGAAGTTCGTCAGCGAGGTGGGGGAGCGGGCCTTGGCTCAGGGCGAAGAAGGCCGTGGGTGAGTAGAGCACGGAGATCACACCTGTGGGGACAGGGACAGAATGCCCCCCTGCCCTCGCCACATCCCCGCCCAGGGCCAGCCAGGCTGCCCGCGTCGGTCAGAGCATTCAGAGCACCTCTGTGCTGCAGAGGCACCACGGAAAACGATGCCCCGGTCCACCGCGGGAACTCCAGCCGGGCAGGGATGCATCCCAGCCCCAGAGTGGCATTATCAGCCTGGCAGGTATGAACAGGGGGCTCGGGGAGGGAGCTGCTGGCCACCGTGGCCTTACCTGGGCTCTTCTGCAGGTGAGATATCCACAGCTCCAGCTGTTTAATGCTAAACGAGACGAAGGGAAGCCAACTTAGAGCCCCTGGCACCGTTCCGACCTGCCGTGGCAGTGGGGCTGGCAGGGCCGACACCACTCACTTCAGAAGGCCGAGGATGAAGGCGTGGAACTTCTGCCTGGCGCTGCTGAGCGGGGCCAGCCCGGCCACGTGCCAGCACAGGGAGTGCAGGGAGCGGGTGCTGGGGCCTGTGGGGTGCAGAAGAGCACAGACAGCCACTGCCCAGGGCACAGCAGCACGCCGGGCACCTGGGGATGCCCCCAGCCTCGCCCTCACCTGTTTTCACAGAGGCTTCCACCACGCTCCAGGGGGAATTTTTCCTCTGGCCCGTGATAACATCCTTCTGGAAGGGCTTCAGCCCGTCCTCCACCAAGGCGTAGAGCGCAGGGCAGAGGGTGTGCAGCAGCAGGTAGCCCACGTCGGGGTTGAGCCGGCTGTCCCCCAGCTGGGCCTGGGGCAGGCACAAGGAGAGGGGAGGGAAGGGCAGGGCAGCACGCGACCCTTGGGAGCGATGAGGGCATCCCAAAATCCTTCCAGCCCAGCTCTCACCTTCTGCACCAGGTTCCGCGCGGTGCTGAAGTGGGCGATGACCTTGTCCACAGCAGAGCTGACGGCCACCAGCAGCGCTGGGGACAGCGGGAGAGGAGGAGCAGAGAAGGGTCAGCGCCCAGGAGGGACCGGGCGGGCCCGGGGCTGTGCCAGGGCCGCAGCTCGGGGCACGCTCGGCGGGTTTGTGCCGCGCTCTCCCGGACCAGCGGCAGCGCGCCCGGCGCAGCAGCGCTGCCCATCCCGGCCCGCACTGTCCGTGCCCCAGGACACCGACCCGGCCCGGGACGAGCCGCTCGCACCCCCCGAGGGGAACGGCCTGAACGGGGCACGCTGCGGGTCCCGCTGCCCGCTCCTCCCCTCCCGTTCCCCGCGGAGGCTCCGCGGAGGAGAACTTGCCCCAACCTTTGGTTTGCTCGCCGTGCGGCCCTTCCGCTCTTCCCCCGCCGGGCCGGGCGGCTCCGGCGGCGGCTCCGGCGGCGGCTCCGGCGGCGGCTCCGGCGGCGAGCGGCTCGGGGCTGGCTGCAGAGAGCGGGGCGGCGGGGTCAGGCGGGGCGGCGGCGCCCGGGGCCGGCGGAGGAGCGGGGCCGGCGGCGGGGCCCGGCTCGCTGCGGCTCATGGATTCACGGGGCGAAGGGCGGCGGGGCCGGGCCGGGCGGCGGAGGAAGCGCGGGGCGGAGCGGCACCGGGACAGCCCCGCCGCGTCCCGGGCCGCGCGATGCGGGGGAAGCCCCGGTTCTCCGCACCCCGGGGTCGCTGCCACCGCTCGGCCCCGCAGCCCCCCGGCAGAGCCCCGGAGGGACCCAGACTCACCCCCCGTGCGGGTCTCGTCTCCTCCCGGAGCCGCCCGCGGCACCGCGGGGTCCCCGGCGGGACCCCCGAGCCTCCGGAGCGGGGCGGTGCCCAGCCCCTTTTCCCCCTTCTCCACATCCCTCGGCTGCCCCTCCGCGATGGGCTGCAGGCTCGGCCGGGGTCTCCTCCTCAGCTGGTCGCTGGGTGCCGGCACGGGCTGCGGGCCCGCGCCCGTCCCCGCGGGCACAGCGGGGCGCTGGCCCGGCTCTGCCCGCTGGCCCTTGGGCTGCCGGGCGGCACTGCGGGACCGCAGCTCCTTGAACGTCGTCACCTCGCGCTGCCCGGAGCCGGGAGGCCCGGCCGGCCCGTCCTGCCGGGGCTGCGGCTGGGGCTGGGGCGGAGGCCGGGCTGGCTCCCGGCCCGCGGTGCCGGCGAGCAGCTCGCTGGTGGGGGGCAGCTCCGTGTCAGGCGAGAACACGATCAGCCAGTCACTGCGGTCAACCCTGGCCTGGGCGAGCGTTCCGGCCGCGTTCCTCTTCCTCCTCTGGGCCAGCTCGTGGAAGGAGGTGATGGTCTTGGCGCCCGTGTCTCGGCAGAGCTCACCGGGCCCGGCCCGGGGCTCCGGCGGCTGCTCCGCTCTGTGCGCGTTGAGGACCTGCAGCCGCCGCCGGGGACGAGGGGGCACCGGCGGGGGGAGGCCGCCGGGCCGGGGCCGCGGCTCCGGAGCGCCGCTCGGGATGCCGGGGTCCCGCCGCTCCGGCACAGGCGGCGGTGCTGGGGGCGCGGCACCGGGCTCGGGGAGGGGGTTGCAGTTGGGGTCTAGGTCAGGGCAGGTGCCGGCGGTGTCCTGTGCTGCTGCTGCTGCTGCGCTGGGAGAGAGCTCGTCGCAGTGGGAGTCGAGCGAGTTGTTGCTGCAGAGGCTGTCCGGGCTCTTGCTGGCCACGGCGGTGGCTCGCAGGGACACCGGGGAGTTGTGGTTGGCATCTCTCCCATGGCACGTCCTCTCCTGGTCAGGCAGACTCTCTCCATCAGCCAGAGACTCTCCATGCCAGGCGTTTTCTGTGGGAATGACGTTCAGCTGCTTGTCAGGAGATTGGGACTCTGCTCTGGCGAACTCCTTGCAGTACACCGAGACCGGGGATTCATCCAAGCTGAAATCCGAGCAGCTACTGACAGAGGAGGAGGAGGAGGAGGAGGAAGAAGCCAGATCACAAGGGGGATCACAAGGGGAAGCCGCCTCCTCCTCGTCTCCGCTGTGCAGGCAGGGGAAATCCTCTTGGTTCTGGAGCCCGAGCGTCTCCAGCTCCGGAGCGTGGGACTCACAGCAGCGGCATTTCACCGAGGGATTGTTGGAATTGGCATCCACCGGCTCCCGGTTCTCCGGGCACTGGGTGCAGCCGGTCTGCTCTCCCCCGGCCGTGGAAGCATCCTGGAGCTCGGGGTGCCGGGAGAGGTGCAGCCCCAGGGAGATGTGCTGCAGGTGGATGTGGTTGAGGTTGCACAGGAGGCCTTTCTTTGGAGCCAGCATGGCGCTGCCTCCTCGCTGGAAGTGCCAGGGCTCCCAGGAAAGGCCAGCAGCTCCTCTCTTCACACCATCCAGCTCCCTGCAAGCACCAAACACCCTCCTGGCCGAGGAAGAACCCAGCGGGACAAACCTGGAGAGAGGCACAGCCGGGGGAAGAGGGATGGCAGTGACCTCGCAGCAATGGGTCTGGGGGTTAGCCATGGGGATGTGCCCTGAGGGAGGGGCTGCCCCACACCTTCCTGCCGGGCTTGGGGCTCTGCGGCCGGGCAGGGGCCGAAACCAGCCGCTGCTCCATGGAGCGTGGCCTGGGAATGATCCCAGCAAGCTGGGCTGCTCCGGGGCTGGATTCCCTCCGGAGCATCGGGAGCATCTCGGGGATGCCGCCAAGGAGAAAACGCCCTTGGAGCCTCGTCGAGACGGGGGGGCCGGGGGAGGATGCTGCCCTGGCTGGGGGCGGTGGCACCACGGGTGCTCAGGGACCAAGGCTTGGCTGGAATCCCCCGGTCCTGGGAGCCGCTGCGGAACCGCCACCGCACCACCGGGCCTGGCCTTACCGGGGGGGATGGGGAGCCCCGGCCCCGGCTACCTGCTGGAGGCTCTGGGCAGGGAACGGGAGACCGCGGGAGGGCGGCTCCGAGCATTCCCCAGCCCCGAGCACCCCCCGGCTCCGAGCATCCCCCGGCCCCGAGCACCCCCCGGCCCCGAGCACCCCCCGGCCCCGAGCACCCCCCGGCCCCGAGCATCCCCAGGCCCCGAGCACCCCCAGGCCCCGAGCATCCCCCAGCCCCGAGCACCCCCCGGCCCCAGGGCGAGGACCGGCAGCCAGGCAGCGGGAGCGGCCCTCCTGGGCGCGGCCCTCTTCATCCCCCTCCCGGCTCCATCCCCTTCCTCCCGTCCCCCGCTCACCTCGGCGCTGCGGCGGCGAATGCGGCTGCGGGAGGGAGGGAGGAGCCGCGGCCCCGCCGCCGCCCCACCGGGAGCCGCCCGGTCCCGCCCCGCCGGCGGAGGCGGCGCTCCGGGCATCCCCCCAGCCCGGAAAGCACGGGAGGGGTCCCGCCCTCCCTCCCTGTCCCCAGACCACAGCAGGCAGCGCCGCGGCTACAATAATTTATGTTTATTCACACACGGCCGGGGGTGGGGGGGGAGACGGCTGAACCCCAGCCCGGCCACCCCATCGCACCTTCTCCAACCCGCCGCGACCCTTCCCAGGGCAGGGAGCCGCTCCGGGCGGTCCGTGCCGGAGCCCAGCCCCCTGCCGGCCCCTCCATCACTTCTGCCGCTTGTAGATCTTCTGTGCGAGGTCCAGGAAGATTTCCGCGGGCAGGCGCTGGGCGTGCTTCCCGATCAGCTCCTGCAGGCGCCGGTAGCTGCTCTCCTCGTACTCCCGGAAAGCCGCCTCCATGCCCAGCGCATTGTAGAGCTCCTTCACCCTGGCCACCTTCTCGGGCTCCTTCGAGCCGTAGTTTTCCTGAGAAAACGCTGGAGTGAGTCCCAGCTCACGGCGCGGAGCTTTGTTCTCTCTTCCTCATGCTCACCCCCCTCCTCCCAGCCAGGTAGCAGCGCCTGGCACTCCAGGTGTACACCCAGGCTTCTCCAGCCCCTCTCCCAGGTGAGGGATCCAGGATTTTACCTCCAGGATCTGCCTCTGCTCCGGCGTGGCCCGGCGCAGACACTCCACCACCAGCCAGCTGCACTTGTTGTCCTGGATGTCGGTGCCAACCTTCCCCGTCAGGGCTGGGTCCCCGTAGCAGTCCAGGAAATCGTCCTGGGTGACAGTGACGACGCCTGAGTGCCACCAGCCAGCGCCGGGCAAGCACCCAGGGGTGCTGAGGCAGCTCCTACCTGGATCTGGAAGAACTCTCCCATCTCCAGCAGGATGGCTTTGGCGTTCTCGTGCTCCTCCTTACTGTCAATGCCTGCCTGAGGGGAGGGGAGGAATAACAGGGATAAAAAAAACCTTCCAGGACTATGGATAAAGCCTTCCAGGACCTGGGATAAAGTAAAACCTTCCAGGACCTGAGGATCAAGCCTTCCAGGACCTGGGGTTGAAGCTAAACCTTCCAGGACCTTGGAAAAAGTAAAACCTTCCAGAACCTGGGATAAAGCCTAGCCTCCCAGGACCTGGGGATAAAGCAAAGCCTTCCAGGACCTGGGGATAAATCCTTCCAGGACCTGGGGATCAAGCCTTCCAGGACCTGAGGATGAAGCCTTCCTGGACCTGGGGATAAAGTAAAGCCTTCCAGGACCTGGGGTTGAAGCAAAGCCTTCCAGGACCTGGGATAAAGCAAAGCCTTCCAGGACCTGGGGATCGAGCCTTCCAGGACCTGGGGATAAAGTAAATTCTTCCTGGACCTGGGGATTAAGGCATCCAGGACCTGGGAATGAAGCCTTCCAGGACCTGGGGATAAAGTAAGGCCTTCCTGGACCTAGGGATTAAGGCTTCCAGGACCTGGGGATCGAGCCTTCCAGGACCTGGGGATGAAGTAAAGCCTTCCTGGACCTGGGGAT